ATTATTTTAATATAAAATTGGAAACACTAATTAAAGTAATTAGTGTATTGAAATGCAATGTGGGTTGCATATGTAATAGTAAAATTAAGTAAAGACTATTTAGACTAAGTTATTTTATTGATATATTTATTTATTTTATTTCTATTTATGTATATAAATTATTTTATGAAAAATGGAAAAAGGTTTAACTAGTACACCTAATATGACATTAATGTAGTGAAAAGATTAAGTAGCTTAATTCTGCAAAATTAAAGCATGATATATTTGGCTCAAGTTACTTATGTCAGTTCTCTTATTCAACGCATTAGGGTGTTTTAATATTGAACACATTTCCAAAAACTGTCTTTTAGCTAGATTGCGTTCAGTGGCAAGGATCTTAACTTCATTGAAATCCACTTCATGTTTTGTATTTATCGCATGTTGTGCTAGGGCACAAGTGTGTTTCGATAAATTAATGTCGCTACGATGTGAAGTGAGACGACCTTTTAATGATCTACCAGATTGACCAATGTAACATAAATCGCAATTAGCGCATGGAATTTTATAAATTGTGTTCACTTGTTCCAAAGTGGACAAGGGTGTTTTAGTTTTAGAGAACAAATTTCTAACAGTTTTTGCATTCTTAACAGCAATTTTAACAGATATATTATTTTGTTTATACAATTTAATAAGCTTCTCAGTAACTTGAGGGAAATAAGGTAAGGAAGAATAATGTGTGATAGTATTCTCAAGAACGGTATTATGCAGAACAGTGCTATTTATAGAATTATTAGAGATGTTTCTAAGTTGGTCACCATCGGGTATGTAATAAATTGAGGAGCCATAACTATGCGAATAAAGGTATTTATTGATGATGCTTTCAAAACTCGAAAGCGAAACGTCTTCAAAATAGATAAAGTAGCCTATCAACTTTGTCTTTTATTTCTCCACCTAGAGACCGATATAAGAACTATATATAGGTATATATATATATATAGGTATATATATATATATATATATATATATATATATATATATATATATATATATATATATATAGACGAGATGACATTTAAAAATACGCAAACTACAGGATTATATTTTTAAACTTTTAATTTTTAAAAAGCAGAAAATCAGTCAAAAATAAAGTAAAATTAATTTGGTGCAAATGAAACAGTAATCTTTGTCAAAGTCCATATAAAGCTCCTTAAATGGATTAACTCAATTAGTTTGAGTCATTTTTTACGAATTTTAAAACACAGTTCTGTACCTGAGAGCCAGACTAACCCAACTCCATTTTTGTCTAATGTAAGATATAGTATACAGTAATGAACTGCTTGTTTCTTATTCTATAAGAGCTATATAAACCTTTCTCCATATACACAAAGTTAGTGAAAATTTAGTTGTTTAAAGAACCCCAAGTTAAACTTATTTTTCGAGCCAAGAGCCAAATAGACCTAATTGGTAGAAGAGTTTCAAAAGAGTTTATTTAGATAAACCTATCTTGGAGTTGGGTTTCTATGGTTCTTATTAGTTTTGCTTAGGTACAGCGCTGTGTACGTTGTGTCAAGTTAAATCCTAACCTAACTAAATTATTCAAATTAAAATATAATAAAACCAAAGAATATGGTAGAACGGTTGAACTGTGATAAGCAAACGAGTTTATGTGATTTGGTTGTGGGTGCAATATTTTTTTTATCATTTTATGGTAATATGGACAAATCAAAAATGAATATGTTTAACAGTACAACAAAAAGATTGATGGAATGTTAAAGGAAAATAAATCACTGCATACTAACACAATAGGTCAGTTGAAAACCACGTTGATGCAGATAAGAATGTAAGATCTCGTTATGTAGTGGATGTTCTTCAGAAAAGGGCTTATAAAAAAATGCATTAAAAAAGACTTTATTTGGATGAAACTCAGAGGCAACATATTTTTAATGCCTTTTGGAATGAAGAAACAACTTGGGATTGCAAAAGACAATGTGTTGCTTCGCATGTAAAATCCCAGCACATTGCTCGTAGACGTACCGAAAACCAAATCAATGACGAAAAAAAAACAAAATACTTTTACGTACAGAGTAACATCTAATAATCAAGATATAAAAGTGTGCAAATTTTTTTTCTGAAATAATCTTTCAGTTTCGAATACTTTTGTTAGAACAGCTTTAAAAAAGCTCTTAATTCTGTCTTATGGTGTTAGCACCAGTCTTACGTGGACGACATACCCCATCAAATAAAACATCATCCTACTGTAGAGATTATAAGAGAACACACTAAAAAGTATCCAACGTGTCAGTCGCATTATAGTCGAGAACGAACAAAAAAAAATTATATTTAGGTGACCACTTTAACATTTTCAAAATGCACTCCCTATACGTAGAAGAATGTCAATCCTTACGACAGATTCTAGCAAAAGCTTGGCAGTTTAGGCAAGTATTCAAAGAATAATTTAATTACTCCTTCCATCCACCCAGTAATGATACATATGACACTTGCAATTCATTTACTGCTAAACTAATAGAAAGTACATTGAGTAATGCCGAAAAAGAAAAAGTTAAAACTGATCAAGAAAATCATCTAACAAAAGCATCGCTTCGTTACAATTTAAAAAGAAAGAATAAAGAAATAGCATCAAACGATCAATCTTATAAAGTGTATATGGTAGATTTTCAATAATGTTTGCCGACGCCTTTTTAAACATATTCGTCTAGCTTTTATTTGCGTAAATTATGGACCCTAAATTACACAATCCATGAGCCCAGCCACGCTACCTGGTGTATTTTGTGGGATGAGGTAAGAGGAGAACGTGGAGGTAATGAAATGGCCTCATGCATGTTGAAATGAGCTACTAATTTTTTGCATAACTCATGTGCCAAGGAAATAACAATATGGTAAGATAATTGTACTGGGTAGAATAGGAACATGATGATGGTAATGTTGTCCGTCTGGCTAGTGTTTCACATTTCAGGGATTGAAATAATAAATCATAAATTTCTACTTCGTGGCCACACACACACATGGAGGTTGATGGCGAACACAGCATCATAGACAGAGTGAAAAAACATTTATCATCCTTGGAAATATTTACTTGTAATGACTGGGCTAATTTTTTAAAAACTTGCAGGCCTAAAAACCCATTTAGAGTAAGTGTTATGCAGTTACAGGATTTTAAGTCATTTTCATATTTGATGAATTCTTCTAAGAGTCCATTTACGGTACGAAAAAGAACTGTAGAAAACTAACATTTTCAAATTTCAAATGTCGTTTGGTTGCAAATTCGAAAGCACGTCTTTGGGAAATTATTTTTTTAAAATTCCTTTTCGGATGAACATTTTCAAATGGTTGACTGTAACAGAAATGTTATTTGTCGCTCGGTATGTCAAATTCCTGCGGAAATTCCGTTACTTCGAACCGAGAAGAAAAAATTAAATAATAGTAAGTAACATGATTTGATAAAGATGTTAGACTTGATCTCTGAAGAAAACAAGGAATATTATAGGAATCTTCCACATGGGGAAATTGAAGCTGAAGAATCAAATGAGTAAAATCTAGTATTTTGTAGCTTATTTTAAATAAAAGTTTATAATTTACGATACCAATGATAATACCTTTCTTATTATTTGTTTTTATTACACCCATGTACTATTAATACTGATGCTATGTTAGAGCTAAAGTGACCCAACTCTATTAATTATTAAACTATTTAATTTAAAGCAGTGTCGTTACACAAGATAATATATAAGTTGTATTTATATATATATATATATATATATATATATATATATATATATATATATCTTTAAAAACTACAAAGGTATTGGATTAAAATAAATATATTTACTTACAATATAAGCTTGATATTTGTGATTTCGCGCCCTCTTGAAAAATTGCAATAATGGAGTTGTTAGTCTGGCTCTCAGGTACAGAGTTATTCAAGCACAAACTACTGACATAAATAATCCTCTATTTTTTAATGTTTCTAAAACGCCGAATATTATCTATAATCTATCTATACCTTCTAAGATTTTCAACAACAGATTTGTATTTCTCCATCTCATTCAGTCTTTAAAGGGATTATATATTGCTATTGTTATGCCTATTGTCTGAAATGCCAAGAACATTTAACAGCACCATTTATTTCCATTCAAACTAGGAATAATAGGTATTTCTCCCTGATATTAAAGGCATTTTTATCTATTGTAAAATACCAAGAACATTTAAATATATTAATCCAAATACGGGCATTACTTTAGTGATTTTATGATCAAAATATACAAAATATGCCAAAAGTTTATTAGTTGCATAAAATATGCAAAATTTGCTCTGTGCATGTTTGGCTAAGCCACAATATGGATAATTATTAAGAACGTATGACTTTATAATTAATTTCCCAGTGTTTTAGTAGTTTGTTAATATGCGTTTTATATAATGTTGGAGATATACAACAACCTTGTCAAAGGCCCTTATTAACTGTAAACTGTAATCTTTTTGCATTGTTAAACTGTTTCAAGGCATTAATGTACTTTGTATGTATCTTTCTCCTCAGCTTAAATCGCTAATTGGGATGTGGTGACATCATCAAATTGTTTTTTACTTATCTGTAATGGACTAGTAGTTCGGATTCGTATAACCCTCGGTTAATCAGTGTATTTTTTTGATCCACCCAACGGCTTGGAGATCCTTCCTTAGGTCTTTTTCCTTTAACTCTGCCCTCGATTAGCACTTTTTCCATCATACCTGTTTTTTTGACAACGTGTACAAAATACAGCCAATATATCTGTTGTATTTGTTGTCCTAGTATTGCTACATTACTTCGATGTTTAACCCAGGATATTTTTAAACTGCGGCGGTACACCCACATTTCAAAAGCTTCTATTTTATTTTTATCTGCTTTTTTTCAGAATCCACTTTCGGATGCATATGTGTCTATAAGAAAAATTACTGCTCTTACATTTTCATGTATAGACATATTTAAAAAAGAGTATGTGTATAATGATACAAAAAATTTTTTTCAGATTCAACAACCGCAGCTTCCCATCCCCCAACCAAACATGTACTTACAACAACCCCAACCTCCTCGTGACCAGCCCCAAATCCTAACACCATCCATCCAGCGCAATCCCGAAACAGCTGATTACATGCATTCAAGCGGAAGCATGAACGTCAACCCCAGATTGCAGTACGAATCCCCCCTTCAACCGTACGTGCCACAATTACCGGCCATGCAAGGACAACCCAATTGGATCGGACATCAATCAAATCAGATGCCTCCACAGATTCCTCAGTATGCTGGTAAGTGATTCTAATGAGTGTGTTATTTCAATATTTTGACCTTGATTTAATAAGATAAACGGAGTGTGGCAAAATATACCGAAGAAACAATAATTTATATCTATGTTTCTCAGTGGTATAATAAAAATTTTTTTTGTAGAAAATGTGTTTTGTGCAATTTATGTTTTTCAATATTTTTTGTAAAATGTATCTCTTAAGGATTACCCTATATTAATAAATTATCAAGTCCACTAGTACTAGCACATATAAAAACCTTACGGAACGAATGACCACTTTTCTAGTAACAAAAGTCCTAAGCAAAATATTAATTGAATATAACAAACCTCTCATACTTATCATTGTAGACCTCGAAATGTTCTTCGACTTAGTAAATCAAGAAGACTGTTTCCTTAGCGAAATGTAGAAAAGACCATAGCAATCATCAAATATACTTCAACAAAACATAGACATAATGGTAAGACAGGGTAATAAACTTTCCCCAAAAATATGTGTGGACCCCCTACCTGCAAGATATGCTTAGTAACATAAAATTGATTACGATAATACCCGGAAAGCATAATACATGTTGATAAGAGTTGTAAAAATCATCTAAAGACGTAGGTTTGAAAATAAACATTTCAAAAAGTTCAAGAGAAATCAACAAGAGAAATCTAGTGACTAATACTCATTCTTTTATCAAGTGAATCAATAACATATGATTTTTTACTTGAATCCATAGGTTTTGATAACTTAAGTAACCTTTTGAATGATGTTCAGGACAGAATAGACAATGTAACTTCTATTAAATTCAGTAAACTTAAATCTAAACTTAATAAACTCATCAGTAATTCATCTAATTCACAAAACAATAACAGCAACAATAACAAAACTAAATTCTCTAATTTCCAATTTCACCCAAGGCTCAAAAATTTATCTTCTGTAATCTTTGATAAAAATAAACTCAACTTATTGAATCTAGGTCTCAAATACTCCATTCCGAAGAAGGTTTCTGAAAAGGACCTTCAGAGTCTTTCCATTGAGCTAGATGTTATCATCCAGAATCCTTCAATCCCAAAAAACGTCAATTAGAAACTCTTGCTATAAAACTATCTACAAATTCAAAAACAAAAATTTTCCATCATCTTCTACTTCTCTCAATAACTCTACTCCCAACACTCTATTGAACACATCAAATAACTCTTCATCCATCAACCCACCTTTTACTTCTCAAAATTATTCATTCAATGTTTCTCTTCCACAATTTTCAAACAAAAAACAGAAAGACCAACTCCAAATCCTCAAGTCTATTCAAAACAAAATTAAATCCCACAATCTTATCATTAGTAAAGCAGATAAAGGCAATTGCCTAGTTATTTTAGATCAAAATTCATATAACGACAAGGTCACCGCATTTCTTTCAGATAACAATTTCAATTTACTCTCCGAAGATCCAACAAAAAAGTTCATTAACAAAATCAAAGCCACCAATAAACTTTTCACAGAATTTCTCTCAGAATATGACGCTCCATATTATAAAATACCTAGTAACCCATTAACACCCAGATTGTACGGTTTACCTAAGATATACAAAGAGGGCATTCCTATTCGTCCCGTTGTTAGTTTCATAAATACTCCAGTTTCTATTTTGTCAAAATTCATATTGAATCTCATTAACAACATGACGAACTTCACCCCTCGCTTTGCAGTCAAAAATACTATTCATCTAGTCAACAATCTTCAACAAATAAATCTTCATCCTAACATCACAATGCTTTCATTCGATGTCAGCAACCTATTTACTTCAGTCCCCAAACAAGAAACTATTAATCTGGTCCAGTCTCTTCTACGAGCAAATTCTATCACTTTGTCTACCACTAACTCAATTATTCAATTATTACAAACTTGTCTAGCTCAAGACTTTTTTGTTTTCAATAGTAAATTTTACAGACAACCTGATGGCTTAGCCATAGGTAGTTGCCTTTCCCCTTTCCTAGCTGATGTATTTATGGATCACTTAGAATCCACACACATTATGAAAAATCCTGAAATTCTCCATTGGTTTCGATATGTTGATGACTGTTTAGTCTTCATATCAGGTAACTCAAATTCAGCTGATCTGTTACTATCTAAATTAAATCAAATCCACCCAAACATTAAGTTCACTATGGAACTAGAATCATCTCAATCTATTAATTTTCTTGACCTTACCATTACCAGATTAAACGACCATTTCGATTTCAGTATCTATAGAAAACCTACACAAATCGACCATATCATACCTTTATCTTCCAACCATCCAATGTCACACAAATATGCAGCCTTCCATAGTTACATTCATCGATTATTAACAATTCCACTATCACAATCCAACTACCATACAGAAGTTAACACCCTTAAACAAATGGCTTTCAACAATGGATATGACCCCAATATCATTAACAAACTTATAAATAAGAGACAACTCAAACTATTGAGAGAGACTGCGTTTCCCAGAGACTTGACCATCAAACCTCATTATGCTTCTTTGCCATACCTTCAAGAACGTCTTTCTGGAGATCTTAGATACATCCTAAAAAGATCTGTTGAGAATACCCACATTTCTTTCAAAGTCCCTAACAATCTAGGACAATGTTTAACTAACACAAAAGATCCCATCAACTACATGGATCGTAGTGGTGTTTATAAATTACAGTGCTCTGATTGTGATGCTACATATATAGGTAGAACCTGTAGATCACTAACTTCTCGTTCCTTAGAACACACTAAAAAAGAGAACACTTCCACCTTCTCTCAACATCTTGCACAACATAAACATACCCTCAACATCCCAGAAGACGTCTCTTTGTTACATAATATTCCCCAAAAAAATTTTCTAAAATTAGATCTATATGAAGACTTGGAAATAGTCAAAGAAAAACAAAATAGCCCCAATTGCGTTAATCGCCATGTATCTTTCAACCGTGACTTCCAACCTTTACATCGTCAACTTTTTTCATAGTTCTCACTTCACAATACTGCCCTACTTTCTCTGCCTTATTTTCCTATACAAACGTCAACACCTTAATCCTACACAATTTTGTGTTTCTTTAAACACCCATTCTCTACAATATCGCCACACCTTCCTCTCACAAATTTTCGACCCCAATGTTAACTTCAGAACCATCCACATCTATTATACCAACATATCACCATCTTATCCACTCTTCACTTCTACATCACATTCCTGTCAATTCTGTTCTCTTTCATTATTTCTTGGTCAATTCATATATCAAACATGTATCCAATAGTTTTAATTTAGTAATCACTCAAACATTATCTAACAATTTATTAAAATTCACAATCTACCATATTACAAAGAATCCTTATCTACCATTGTCCACCTTCTCTCGGTCAACAACTTAGTAGCACACTTATACAACAAATTTCAGGTTTCTACAAACTGAATTTAATACCACCAAAATAGATTTTGTTCAGGGTGCTAGATACCTTAGGTATAAAGGACCCCTTTTATCTCTAATTGTTGATTAACTCCTTTTCTCCTTCAATCGCCCCCTCTCCTTTTCTTCAGTCATTTCCTTTACTTTTATTCTCATTAGTCTCTGAGGAACCCAGCCTCTTCAATTTTAAATTCAATCACATAGGTTACTACTTTAATTTCTTCAGCCTGTAGATTTCCATCTTACTAAACTTAATTTTATTAATTTTTCACCATAGGAGCAGTCTTAAATAAAGTCATTTAAATATGAGGTCTGATATTAGCTTCAAATATTTGTTATTTAATTTTTACCTTGTCCTAGATGTGATAAACATAAAAGGATAATTTTCATAGATATAAGCTAATGCAAACATAAAATACACTTTTAGACCACATTCCATACGACAAAAAGCAACATAAGTTGCCTAAGGCACAGGTCATTCTATTAATCTAGACTATAAAACCATCATTGATTTCACATCTTTTATACCCTAAATTAATAAATAAAAAAGTTGTTTTAAATCCTAACACCTACATTGTTGTTATTTTTAAAATCATCAAAACTTGTTGAATCTTTTGGCTGTAGTAATACTATGTACAACTAATATAGTTTTTGTTGCATTGACATTCTGTTTTCATCATCCTTCATAAGTATCTTGTCAATCAGTTCCCAGCTGTTCTCCGCGTGTAGAGGTTCTCTCTCACCGGCTCTGGTAACTCGATTCAGCCATGTGTTACCTCTAGTCAAATTTAATTTAATACTGAACATCACAGTTATTTTATAACACAATGTACAATCTTTTATAACTAAATGTAATTTAAAGGGTTTTTACCCTAGTATTTTGGTGGCTCAGGCATTGTGACCTAGTAAGTATAACCATCTTTTGCTTTTCAACCATAGTCAAAATTTCATAATCTCGTTTGTTTTAACTAAATGGTTCATACTTATTTTTAGGCATTTTCGATTTTAAAACCTGATGATGGACTGTGTGGTCCGAAAACGTTTGTTTTATTGATGTAGCCCTTTTAATTTATTTTTAAATAAATATACCCATTTACAAAGCCTAACCTCTTTTTGTGATACGTGGTATACAGCCAGCTACAGGAATTTTTTTCCTTGTGGATGTTGAAATATGATGTTTAATCGCCGGGACTATATAAATCACATACATATTGTGTTATAAATGATGCCATCTATACATATATCAAATGCGGGATTTATTGAATTATGTGTATATTGTTTGTTTCAGATAAAGCCAGTCGCATATTCAATCATAAGGAGAGCGGTTTTCAAGTGCCTGATGGACAAGAGATCAGGTATAATAAATATAAAGGGGCTATGCAGTATCTGCATCGCGCCCTTGGATATTCAAGCGCTAGTAATACCGCAGGGTGAGAGACGGTTATCCGAACAAGTAGTGCAGTCTTAGACAGATTGGCAAATAGAACCAAAATAATCAAAAGCTTTGTAGACAGCATCCAATTGAATAAGATTACTTAAAAATAAGAAAAATGATTTATTAAATATCATTTGATAAATATGTTCATGGTTTAAAGTGAAACAACAATAATGCGGTAGAAACTAGGGACATATTCATGACACCTTCTTACCGATCAGTTCTCAAAACGAATTAAATTAAAAATAAAACAAAAGTTCGATTTTTTTCCAGTAAAACCACTGTTCTAAGGTTCTATGAGTTCATCCATTTCTTCCAGATAACCGATTACTTTCTTGTATCTGATGTCATTTCCAGCCACATAATATCGCAGGAAGAGATTAAAGTAGAGAAGAAGAGCCCTCAAGAAGATGTCTCAACAGCACAAGTAGTTAGAGCCACCAAAATAATAAAAAATTATAAAGCTTCGGTTCCTGATAAAATACTTAAAGAAATTCACATTGTTAAGCACGAGAAGATACTGAAAATCTTATAAAAACTAAACATTGATTATCAAGATGTTTAAATAATATTACGGGATCAAACGGCAAGAATAAACAAGGCTCTTTGTCAGAGGAAATAGGTAATCAGAAGGGTGTACGACAGGGATGTATTATGTCGCCAATGCTATTAATTTTATATTCTGAATATATTTTCCGTGCTGCATTAGGAAATGAGTCAGACGGAATAGCGACAAATGGACTTGTCAATAACATTAGATATGCTGACGATACGCTAGAATAGTCAACAATTTGAGAGACCTCCAGAGACTCTTTAATAAAATATCTATATTTATTATGAAGCACGGTTTACATGTCAATATCAGGAAAACCAAAATGATGGTTTAAACAAAATTACAATTGAGGATAATTAGATTTTAATGGACAGGTCATTGAGCTAGTTTTGCTAAACAAATATCTCGGAACTATTGTCAACGATACTAATCAATATTTAGAAGAAATTCGTTCACGCATTGAACAAGTGCGAGGTGCGTTTTTCAAAATAAAAAAAAAACTGTTGACAGCACCGTATCTAATTTGACTCTAAGAATTTAGAATGGTTATGTTTTTTTCCGTACCCCTATAAGGTGTAGAAAGCTGGACACTAAATAAGGAACTTCTTAAAGAGTCACAAATAAGGTAGTGTTAAAAAGACTGAATATTAAACCTGAAATTGTTTTTACTATAAAGAAGAGAAAAATTGTATTTCTTGGCCACATCTCTAGAGGCATAAAATATGAATACATATAGGTTATAATGCAGGAAAAGATCGTTGTAAGCGAGGAAGAAGTGTAGTAAGTAAAAGAATTTCTTGGCAGAATTTCTTCCACATCTGCAAAGCTTAATGTGTACAAGAAGTTGTCCCGGATTGGTATTCCCATCCCTTCACATTTCCTTTTCCATGGTTTTAATATTTGTTCAAAGAATATCTTGAACAGTGTCGGAGATGTAGAGCATCCCTGCACTAATCCTTTTGTGGTCTTAAATTCGTTGGAGTATTTATTGCCGGTTTTAACTCTTACCTTGTTGTTTGTTGTTGTAAGGATTTTTTACGGCTTCTATTAACCTCGGAGTTATTCCGATTTCCTTCATCGTGTTCCATAGTTGTTTTCTGGGAACCGTGTCATATGCCTTTTTCAAATCTATGAATGCCATGTGTACTGGTCGATTTTTTGCCATTTTTTTTTCAATTAATTGTTGGAGTGTATATATGTGGTCTATGTAAGATCTTCCTGCCTTGATCCCGCCTGATCTTCTCCGATTTTATTTGAAATAGATTTTTCCAGTTTTTCTTTCAGTATTTTTCAATATAACCTGCCCATACATGCTATTACACTGATGCCTCTGTAGTTCTCGCATTTCTTCTTATCTCCCTTTTTATGTATCGAGGTTATATATGCCTTGGACCATTCATCTGGTATTTTGTTCAGGTTTATAGCGTTACTGAACATTTCGTGTATAATTCTGTGTAGTTTGTCCGTTCCGTACTTAATTAGTTCATTAACGACTCCTCCTGGTCCCCCTGATTTTTTGTTCTTTAAAGTAGTTATGGCATTCTTTACTTCGATTAATGTTATCTCAATATGTTCTTCATTCTGACTTTGTTGTTGTTCATGTTCTGTGTCTGTCTCTATGACATCTGGGCGGTTTTCTGTGAGTAGTTCTTTCTAGTAGTCTTCCCACTCTTTTTCTGATATGTATTGTATTTGGACCTTTTCGTTGTTATTTTTTCTTAAAGATTTCAGCAATTTCCAGGATTCCGAATTCTTTGTTCCTCCTATGTATTATTCAATTTGCGCACATGTTTCTCTGTTTTTCTCTTTGTACTTCTGTATGACTTTTGGGGATTTAGTGCTCATACTTTTCATATATAGAATTTTCTTCTCCTTGAGACATTTTTTGGTTTCTTTGTTTATTTTTACTTTGTGTTGGGTATCTCTTATCTCAAGTTTCCCCAAAGTTTCTGTAACTTCTGGTCCAGTCTTCTCTGGTATAAGTCCCTTATGGATTCCTCTTGAAGTAAATTTATGTTTAACTTCATTTCTTCTTCTTTCTGTTCATTTTCTGCTTGGTCTTCTTTGTGTTCTTTCTTCCTTCTAGTTTGGGTGTTCAACATGTAGGGAAACCCCATTTGTAAAATTATTAATTGGTGGTCAGTGCCACATTCGGCTCCTCTCTTTACTCGGGTATCTCTATTTTTTATAATACTACTTTTGCTGACAATTATGTAATCGATAAAGGATCTGATGTTTCTCGTTGTTTGTACATACGTGTATTTATGTATGTCCTTATGCCTGAGAAAGCCGTTAGTAATTTTCAGATTGTTCAGTTCGTACAGGTCAATTAGTCTTTCTCCATTATCGTTTGTCACCAAAACGGACTATCGTGCTATCATTTTGTCGTTTCCCTGTTCTTCGATTTAGGTCCCCTGCTATTATTATTTCTTGTGTTGGTCTCACTTTTCCGATCTCTTCTTGTAAGGTATCCATAAACTGATCCTTTTCTGCTACCAGACTGTTATCCGTAGGACCGTATACTCCTAGTATCACGATTTGCCTGCCATAGATTTCCATGATGAGTTTTACTATTCGTTCATTTATGGATTCCCATGTTTTTATTGTTTTTACCCGTTTTTTCTTGACTAGTATCCCCACTCCGGCAGCTGCTCTTTCTTCCTTCTTTTTCCCGCTCCAACAGTAGAAGATGTCATCTACAAGTTGTGTACCATTTCCCTTTTTCTTGGTCTCAGTTGTTACCAACATATTAAGGTTTACACCTGGTTACACGTGATTTCCGTCTTTCTCTGTTTCTTTTTTTTTGACGTTGGCTGAAATTGAAGAGTTCTCTTACCAAAAGCAGAATTGCCCCCCTCCCTCCGTATCCGATGGGGCTCCCTCCGTTGGGTGTTAATTACCACCCGGGGAACTATAGTTTTATTTTTCATCCTGCTTCTTTTGCATGTGCCAGGATGCTAAAGCCTGATGCCAAAACCCCCAGTTTGGAGGACCTCTACTTTCATCTGCCCATTCTGAATCCGACGCTGCCTGTTTGCAGCCGCCCACTCTGGATCAAACGCTGCTTGATTCTATACAAACCCTAAAATCCAGGGTCGCCAGAAAATACCTGGAATCTGTAGGGGGCAGGGAATGATTCATTTTTCCCTGATAGGACTATCCAAGGAGTCACTACCCACTACCCACTTTGAAAACCAGAATATACGATCAGTGTATCCTCTCTATACTTACGTATGGCTCACAGACGTGGACACTCCAAGTCTAACATGGATAAAATACTAAAAGCACAAGCAGCGATGGAAAGATCAATGCTAGGGGTGAGACTTATAGACAAAAAAAAAATAAACAAATGGATTAGAACCAAAACGAAAGTACAAGACGCAGGAGAACATGCTGCCAAATTAAAATGGAGCTTCGTAGGACACAATGCCCGACTGAAGGATAAGAGAAAAAAGAAGGATAAGATGAAAGAGATGGAAAGAGAAGCAGAGTAAGACCACAAATGAGATAGGCTGATGAGATTAAGAAGATCGGAGGACACAATTGGAAGCAAGTGGCGCAAAATAGAAGACACTGGATTGATTTGGGGGAGTCCTATGTCCAAGGTTGAATTACTTAAGGCTAAAGAAGAAGAAGAAGAAAAAACATAGGTTAAGATGGTTGGAGTATATTTAACGTTCAGATAGCAATCACCCCATATGAAGAATTGCTTAGTTGCAAATTCCCGGAAGGAGTGGGAAAGGATTACCAAAGATGTATGTGAAGTGTATTGATGTGGTATGATCCGAGATAGAAACTTACGAAGCAATGTAATTAGGGAAAGCAACTCCGAATAGGGTTATAATCAAACAGTGTGATAATTGATAATTGGAAGATCTTATAACAAATAGTGTTTAATCACAAGTGGCACGACTACGTTGATGTGGTTTAAAACTGACAAACTTAACTAGGAAGCTTTCAGAACTACTAAATCCCGAAGTATTTTGTGGTTTATTTTGTGACAGTTTTCGATAATGCAAAAAATCTTATTCGATTGGATCTACAGCATGCTTTCACACAATAGATTTAGAACTGTAAGTACTTCTCCACCTCTGCAAGCTAACTACAATTCTTACTGACTTTTGTATATATGTTTATTCCCTTCACCCAGCTAAGTTCTTTTTGATGGGTTATTTTTCACTCTTTAAATCCAAACGTATATTCAGAAGTTAACTAAAACATATATTAAATATTAACTTTAGATAAAATTGCACTTTAACTGATAAAAAGCAGTAAAAATTACAGTTTTGTAAATATATTCACCATTTCATAAAATTTTGTTTAAAAATTGTTTATGATATCTACGATTCTATATGTATGTGTTCCGGTTTTTTTAGCGCATCAAACGCTTTCCGGCAGCAATCGATGAAATTATAACTCCAAACTGTTAGTTCTCATCTCTT